CATGGCATTAGAGACAATACTGGGACCAACTGCTGTCTAACAGAGGAGAGCACAGGTGGAGTGGACTTGACAAAGGTCACGTAAACAGCTGGGGAAATGGTATTTAGGTCATCTGGCTGCTCAGCTAAGGCTGAGATGTCTAGACAGTGCTATTTCCAGGGATTAACTCTTGACTCTTTAAGCTGAGAACCTGTGTCTGGTTAATACTGAAACATTCAATTTGAACCTACAAAAGGAAATGAGTGTGTAAGGAAAGACGTTGAGTCTATATTGCTCCTTTCCATGCCTTCTCTGCTCATGCTTGTTCTGTACCTGTCCTGCTCCTGGCCAGTCTTGTGCTGCAATCTGTCCCTGGTCTTGTCTGATTGTCACCTCCTTCTCGTGTGGACAGGAATATAGACACAGACATGTGACTGTTTGCAGAGCCTGTTACCTGCGTTCTTCTGTGCATCCTGATGTGAGTCTGGAGAATTTCTGGAAGTGTTTGATTTCTATATGGGTTTACTACTGAACGGTAGCTCAGACGTAGAAAACATGCCTGTACCTATTGTGGATCCTGGTTTCTCATTTTCTAGTCATTCCTTCCTTCCATGCCTCTCTTACCCTTTAGGGAAAAGACTTTTGTTGCCTAAGTAAAAAGAACCAGGACAAATTTGATTATCAAGAAGATTGTGAAACTTCTTTTGCATGAGATATGAATAATTGCACACTTAGCTCCTGTTCTATGCATAGTTTCCCAATGGCATGCACAAATACCCTGTTTCTGGGCTTGCAAGGCACATGAGTTACAGAGTACATGCTTAGATTGGATATCCACCTCTATGTTAGAGTCCCCTGGGTGAGTGAATCAGTATTTCGGCTTGTTGCACCTCTCTGGGGTGGGTGCTGTGTCAGATCCTTATCTGGCTGAAGTGTAACAGATCCAGTGAGGTTCCAGCTGCTGTGACTGCCCTATTCCTTGCCAAAGCCTCAGATAATCCTGTGGCATGCTTGTAGCAAGGCAGCAGAAATATGAAGTTGGTGTTAGCTGGGCCTGGTACTATCTTAGATTCGCATTGCCTCCTCTGTCTCCCATCTCAGTCCTCTTTTAATTGACACTGATGTGCGTTTGAAACTCCTGGATGTCTCGAGGGGTAAATGAAGCTGCTGGTTTTTTAAAAAATAACTTTTTGGAAGGAAAAAAGTTTCTTATACGGGGGCCCCCAACACAAGAAGAACACACACCTGCTTGAGAGGATCCAGAGGAGGCCACAGAGATGCTGGGGGGGCTGGAGCACCTCCCCTGTGAGGACAGGCTGAGAGAGTTGGGGGGTTCAGCTGGAGAAGAGAAGGCTCCGGGGAGACCTTAGAGCGGCCTCCCAGGGCTGAAAGGGGCTGCAGGAAAGGGGGGAGGGACTCATCATCAGGGGTGTAGGGGTAGGATGAGGGGTAATGGTTTTAAACTGAAAGAGGGGAGATATAGATTAGATTTAAGGAAGAAATTCTTCCCTGTGAGGGTGGTGAGGCCCTGGCACAGGTTGCCCAGAGAAACTGTGGCTGCCCTCTCCCTGGAAGGGTTCAAGGCCAGGTTGGACGGGGCTTTGGGCAACCTGGGCAGGGGAAGGTGTCCCTGTGTGTGGTAGGGGGGTTGGAACTGGTTGATGTATAATGTCCCTTCCAGCCCAAACTATTCTATGATTCTATGAAAAGAATGCTATATGATAACTGGGATTTATAATAGGAGGAATTATCTTTTGTTGGAGGAAAAAAAAAAAAGTTTATTTTTCTCATATCTTCAAATAGCCTCTACCTAGGGATAAGCAGGAGCTGAGGTTTCATTGAGTGATGCTGTGGGAATGGGAGGCTGCAGGTCGTTTGCTGCTGTTCTGGGACATGCTTTAGTAACCCCGTATTGGAGCTGGTATAGTCAAGGATATTCTGGTAACTGAGTGAGTCATAAAGCTGCTATTTCCAGAATGATTGGGTTTTGTAACATGGGATAGTATTGTCTTGGTGATAGAAAGATGTGCTGGGCCACAGAGCTGACTCAGCATTACTGGCCCTGGAACTCAAGTATTTGCCTGAGACCTAGTTTCAGCAGAGAAAATTGGACTATGAATAGGCTTTGGGTTAAACAAACAAACAAACAAACAAAACAAAAAAAACACCCCACAACCCAGAACTCAGAAGAAAAACTCCTTGATGGAAAAGGAAACCTGTTTCAGGGAAGCCATATTTAGAGGAAATCATGAGGATTGTGAGACGCTTGACTATGAGGGTGGTGAGACACTGGAACAGGTTGCACAGAGAAGTTGTAGACGCTTCATCGTTGGAAGTGTTCAAAGTCAGGTTAGATGGGGCCTTTGAGCAACCTGATCTAGGAAAAGATCTCCCTGCCCATGGCAAGGGGGTTGGACTAGAAGATTTTTAAAGACCCCTCCCAACCCAAACCATTCTATGATTCTATGAAAGGAGACATTTTCTCACAAAGTATGAGCTGGGGTGAGATTCAATGGAAGTTTCTGTTCTCATGGCTAAAAACCCTAAGCAGGAGGAGTAAGGTGAACTCCTTTTCTTAGAGGTTTTTTGATCAAACTTTGGTATTTCTAGAGGTATATGCTTTTAGTTGCCATAGGTGGTTGAATGCCAATTTGCTGTGTTATCTATTTAGGGGAAGACATCTTGGAGACTATATTTGTTGCCACTGCACAGCAACTGTCTCTCTCCGATCCCTTGGGTAGATGTTTCTATTGATGGCGTTAAGCTTAGCTTTAAACCATGATCACCAGAGTGACAAATGCAAGCACAGGAAACAAGAGTTAAAAGAGCTCAAGCAGGAGAGCAAAATATAAAGCCTGAATCATCTGATATTGCTGTCTGTAGACAAATGCTAGTAGTAGTCCCTAAGCTTACGGTTAGAAATGGTATCACATGCTCTATGTTTAAGATCTGTCGCTGCAAATAGCCAGCAGTAATTTTATTAATAACGATCTCGTCAGATAAATGGAGAAAGACAAGGAGCTGACAGGGAAGATTTCTAAAGACTTCCCCAGAAATTCACTGTGTTTATTTCATAAAAACTCTTAGTAGAAGCAGCTTAGTTCTGACAAAATTTCAGGCATAGACTCCTTTTTATTTTTTTTCCCCAAATAATAGCTGCATCTCTCAATGTGTCCCTGATTGTTTTTACAATTAAAAGTCTCTCAGGCCTACTTTCCCTTATTTACTTCAAGGTTTGAAACCAACAAGTTCCCAAGACCAAACCAGGACTTTTTGTCTTGGGGTTGATTAGGAGTAAAACTTACCTATTTGCAAAATAGGTCTTTGGGTATGATTTTTTTCCCCCTTTCCACCCAGATCAAAGCAGGATGGGGAAGCAATTGCAGTATTATTACAAGATGAGAAGCATGTCTCATGCACAGCTGTAGATGATCTTGAAATATCTGTGTCCTCATCACTGTCCTGTCTACTGCAGAAATGTTCTGGACAGCTGAGCACTATTGACACTTACTTACCCTTTATCACTTTACCTGAAGAAATACTGTCTATACAATATAGGTGATGGATCATGCTGTGTCTTGCCCTCCATATCCAACCCAGACCTAATCTGGTCTTAAAGGCTGGGTATAAAGATGCCCACAGTGTGTTGAAGGATGAGTCAGAGTGGTCCTAGCTCCAGGATGGCTTGGTGGTTGCTCAAGTAGCAGCGAATCACTGTCATTTTTCACTCAGTGTTTTAATGCACAACAACAACAAGAATTCATGCTGCAACCTGCAGCAATCTGGCAGCAGCTGCACAATCATCTGAGCTGTCCGTGAAATGGGAACAGGTTAGACGATGGTGGGAAATATCTTGGTCTGAAAGCTGGAGGTCTTATCTCTGTTGAGGACAGCATGTAGTGGGGCAGGAATGTGAAGCTGTTCAGAGAAAGGTAAAGAAAAATCCTGGCTGTCTGGTTTGCTGTCAGAGGTATCCAAAGGAGAAAGGGTGATTAGGGCTGGGGAGAAGTGGGAGAAGAGGAAAAGCTGCAAATGGGTAGGAGCATACTGAGAACTGGGTTGCAGAGATCAGGACTTGTCTTGTCCACATCCAGGAGATGTTTCAGAGCTGAGATGCAGAGGCACAAACATCAGGACCTGGGGCTTTTGCTTATTGCTCCTTGGGGTTAAGGCTGAGAAACAGCCTGGAGATCTCAGACCAAACGTGACTTTTGTGCAAATTCTGAGCATTTTAGGAAACTTAGCTGAGTGACTGGAAACAGAGTTCTGCTGAGGAAACACAAGCAAAAGTAGAAGAGGTGTCCCAAACCAAACAGTTACACCTTTCTGTGTCAGCACAGTCTCAACACAGCTTTAACAGACTGGAGTTAAAAAGAGTAACAGGAAAAACATGAATCCAAAGCACGCACAACAAGCCACCTAACCAAAGCTGTACAGAAACAAACCACAATGCTGAGCCTGAGGCCCAGACCCAAATGTTCTCAGTGGTCTGAACATGAAGGCTGTAGATGTAAGGTGGGCTCTCCAGTGCCCATCTCCCCCAGCATGGAGCAGAGCTCCCAGGCCTCTCTGGCAATGGCACAGGGGAGCTGGAGAGCCCCAAACCTTTGTGCTCAGTAGGGAAATGCTCAGCACCAGGATCTCCAAAACTCTGCCAGGGAGCAACCTCCACCTGTCTAGGGACCTGGAGGCTGGAAAATCCTCCTGAGCTCAAGAATCTATGCAAAGACTTTGAAAGGACTTGAGGTGCTTGTCTGCCACCTAGTCACTTGTGGGTGAACGCTCCTCAGGATACGGAAAAATCTGATTTCATTCCAAATTTTGGACTGGAAGAAAAAAAGTCACTAATTGTGCCAAAGTCCTGGTCACCAGCTCTTTAACTTGACAGCTTGCAGAGCAGGTAAGAGGCCGGCAGTGAGCTCATCCTTTCCATTCCTCATCTGCATCCTTCCTTGATATTGTTCCCCGCTGTGTACGAGGACTGCTGCTCTGAGGGTTGCTACTCTGCCTGCCTGCGTGGTGTAAACCATTGTGTTGAGGCAGACAGTGAGTTATGGGCACATCCCTCTTGGAGAAGACCCCAGAAGTTCAGGGAAGTGGGAAGGAAGTCGACGCAATGGAAGAACCTCGCCGAACAAAAGGCCATTGAAGCATTTTCTTGTCTCCCCGTTACACCCTGAGAATCCTCGCTGTAGAAACCGACTGATCCCTCAGCCTGCAGTAAGTTCCAGTAGTTTGTAAAAGTCCTTGAAGTCGTGTAGCTGGGGAGGAGGGAAGCTGCTGAGTCGTAACATGTCGGAGCGCCTGGGAAAGAATGGGGCTTTATTAGTGCTCTTCAGCACGCTCTGAAGCAGAAGGGGAGGGCACGGGGCTTTTGTCAGGCAGTGTAACTGCTTTTTCTGATGTGGAGAGCAAAGTGCATGGTGGTGGCTGCTGGTTTGACAAAATGCCTGTGGGAATTTTCTGTAATTTGGGATCAACTAGAAAAAGCTTTTGTGCTTGTAGGAGGTGGCTGAGGTTGAGTAGATGGGCTGGGGAGGACTCTGGGTCCTCCTGATAGATGGATTTGGGAGGTTTGGATTTTTTTTCAGGTTTTGGGTTTGTTTGTTTTGTTGTTGGTTTTTTTTGTGTGTTTTTTTGTTTGTTTTTTGTTTTTGTTTTTTTTTTTCAGAAGGAGGGGAAATAGTTACTGCTGGCTGAGGGGTAGCAGAGGACAGACTTTGCATGCATGGTGTGCTGGCTGTCACACGCTCTCAGCGGCAGGCTCTGAATAGCAGGAAACGTCCTGTTTCCCAGGGTTTTCATCTGTGAGCTACAGCCAGTGCAGTAGTCGCGTGAGGGGAGAAACTGGCAGCACAGGAGACTCGTTTGGCAAACTGCTATGGGAATGTACTGTAGGTGAAAAGAGACTAGAACTGAGGAATGGCACTGCACGAGGGGAAACACATCCCGTCCTTTTATCTTTCATTTTCCTGTATTTTAAGTTTCCCTAAACACGAGCTGCAGGAGCGTAGATCGCAAAATGCCCTTTTAAAAAAGGCAGGTAACAAATAATTGCTTTAGAAACCCTATTTGCACACATTTCGTAACTGTTTCTCTGGGCTCTGTGGGTGTCTAAGCTAATGAACAGGCCCAGATCTGTGTTTCAGCAAACGAGGTGGCTAGACGTGGGAGGGAGAGGTGGGAGGGGAGAGCAGCGGCTCTGACAGAGTATTTCAGGACTCAGAAGCTCAGAGGAGCTGCTGCTGTAGCATTTACCACGGGGGAATTTTCATTGGCTGCTTTATGCAAGGTACGTTGCTCTACGAGCTGGTTGTTTTTGGGTTTCGTGACCAGTGTTCATTGGTTGGTTTGTTTTTTCCCATTGTTCCCGAGTCTCAGTTTTATCTTTAGCCACGTATTTTAGGGGGGGATATAAGATCAGCTTTAGGAGGCTGAAGGGACAGTTAAAGGTGATGTGCCATGAGTAAAAGTCCTGAGGCAGAGCAGTGTTTTCTACAGGTAGAAATGTGACTGGTGCAAGTCACCAAAGGTGTGGAGTGCGTTTTCCTGGAGTGTAAAATGCGCTTGCACGCACTCCTGTGCTCCATCTAGACAACACACTGGCCTTGCTGTCATTAAGGTATTTAATTCCCAGAACGGTCTAGACTTGTGGCATTAAATCCTCTGCTTGCTCCCACCTTGTGTTTTCCGGAAAGGGATGCTGGAGAAGCATGTGCACGCGCAGTCCCTCTCCTGCGGGCAGCTGCCTGATGTTGTGTGTGTTGGGGCTTGCTCCTGTTTGGAGGAAGGGATTTCCCACCCATGCCGGGCAGCCTCACCTGGCAATACGAACCTGATGAAGTAAGGCTGGAAGCTGTGCATTCACTCTGGGGTTGCAACAGCTCGTCTGGCATAGTAAAGAAAGCAATACCCAACTAATTAGTTGGGGCAGGAGAGGCAGATAAGCTCGGCTGGGTTTCTGCAGGGGAGGGAAGTGGTCAAAAACTTTCAGGTGTCTTAGGTGTTAACTGAAAAGTCTGGGTCAAAGGCCTAATTATAGGGGAACAGTAACACACTTAAGGCTTAAAAAAATTTAACAAACAACTGTGTGTTCAGAGCCAGAAGAGGAGGAGCTGCACACAGGAGGGACTGTTTTTTAAGCTTTAGCATAGTTTAATTTGGACTTGGACCAAAGCTGTGTCGCTTTGTCTGTGGAAATTTCCTATGGCCTGGAAGCTTCCTCGACTTTGCAGCTGCTCCCTGAACTTGGTAATTTCATTGCTACTGCAATGACTTCAATGTCCAATGAGCTGCAAGATAAGATTTTTGAGGATCTGCAAGGAAACCAAGCAGAATCAAGACCCTGACTTCAATTTAGTAATGCATTTTGGAGGCAAACAATGTCAGTGTGTTGTGGTTTCAGCTGAGAGGACAACTGAGCACCACACAGCCATTCACTCCCCTCTTTCCCTCCCAGTGCTGAGAAGGGGAAAATAAGCAAAAGTGCTGCTCATTCCACCCTTATCCCTAGGGATAAGGGAAGCAAAAAAGGGAAGGAAGCAAAAGACCCAGAAACTTGAGATATAAGGACAGGAAGGGTTGGGGGGTAGGGTCAGTCCTGCACTTCTTCCACCTCAGGGGAAAGGGGAACTTCTGACATTCCTACCTTGTTCCAGTGCGGTCCCCCTTTCACAGGAGACAGTCCTCCACAAGCCAACTCTGACATGAGTCACTCCCACAGGCATGTGGATCACCCCCCCTGTGTTGCAATCCTCTCAGTGCTGAAATACGACGGCGGGGCTGCCTTCCCGTGGGGTCCTGGTCTTCTTCGGGCACAGTCACCTGGTGTGGCATGGGGCCTGCCATGGGACACACTTGGCATCTGCTCCAACGGTGACCTCCATGGGTGGCAGGGAGAGGTGGCCCTGCTGTCTCACCATGGGATACAGGAGAATCTCTGCTCCCACACTCCTTCCCTTCTTCTTCTCCTTTCTTCCCGCAGTGTTTGCATAGATGTTCTCCTCACATCTTCTCACAACTCCAACTACTCTTCTCAGGTTCCCCTTCTTAAATATGTTCTCACAGAGGCACAGCTAATTGGCCTAACCTTGGTGCAAAGGCAGGTCTGACTTGGAGCTGGGGGAGCTTCGAGAAGCTTCTAGCAGGGGCCACCGCTGCAGCCACCTCCCCTGCTACCAAAAAGCCCCCACCACTCACTCAAACAAGAACAACCCGCAAGTTCAAGAGGGGTAAGATAAATTCAGGGACAACAGGTCCATGGGCAGATAGTAGGAATAAGGTTGCACCTTTTGAGATCCCTAATGAAAAATGTTGTTGGGGCAATACAAGAGGAATGAACTTCAGAAAGTGGCCAAGCTTATGTTTGTTCTCTAAATAACAGGTCTTATTCTTGCTGTCAGTCTAGCTAGACTGCTGGAGTGACCTGGTCAGGTATTGTTTACATTCCTGTTGAATTGGAAAGGCCTCATGCAAAGTACCTTGGGCTCAATGAACAGGAATTTTCTTGTGGAACAGTTTTGTCACAGCTTTGACCAGCTCTTCAGGTCATCAAAAGACCTGGGTTTTGGCACTCAAAACATCTCTGTGAACTGTAGCGTCTCAGAATGATTATCAGAGGTTAGGAAGCACTGGTGACTCTTTGCAGGTCTTTCCTGCCTTCGGTAGCTTCTAATTTGCCCTCCAAGAGCACCTGAAGGGTTTTATGAAGCACTAGAAGCTTCCTACTACACTCAGTCTTCGGTAAAGGCCTTAGGCACTAGAGGAGAGGTGAAGAAAAATTTGGCAGTTCAGGACTATTAATGTTCCTGGACATGAGAGAGTTTAAGGAACCCAAACAGAAAGCAGAGAAAGACTGGGTACAGGGATTAAACTAATCCAAGCACGTCTTTTTAATCCTTTCTTGTTCTTTCATGCAGACTTCAGCCCTGCCCTATTTCTGGCGGGTGTTGGCGATGCTGTGAAGTGCCTAGGCTATGCATGGGTCACTTGGAAGGGAAGATCTGGGATGGTTTTTTAAGTGGCATTTTGTAGTGACACATCATTAGCTTTTGGATAATGCCTCTAGCATAAGCAAACATCTGTGAAATGGGGGCAGAGTCATGCAGTGGTGTCAAAAGGCAGAGGATGGATCCAGACCCTCACTCGTGAATATCTGGAGGAACCAGCCATCTCAAAAGTTGCTCTTGTTACAGCTTTATGAGGATTTTCTGTCTTTTAGCACAAAGGAAGTGAAATCCCCTTTAGTCCTACACAAGTTCTGGATGGCTCAGGGGGATGACATTACTGTACGCTGAGCTCCATCTCATCTGTGAAGCAGTTCTGCTACCAGCTCTTCCATTGTCCCTGGGGACACTCCTCTGATATTGTCTGTGCTTCTGGGTTGGTTTCCAGGCTGTAATTCAGACTGATGCTCAGGGTCTGACTCAAAACTGCTTTGATGTAGATTGTAACACATATTCTAAACCCCAGATGTGTAGTGCTCTGTCAATCTTCTTGCTTTTTTGAGGCCACACAGAAGTCCCATTTGCTTTGGAAAAGAGACTAGACATATTGGGAGTATGAGGCCAAGGGAGAGGAGTTCCTGCTCCCAAAGCTGCTTCCAGAGCTGTGACACAAAAATTGTCCCTGGCTGTTATCTTCGGTCATTCCCATATTTCCACTCCAGTGTAGAATGATTGAGCTCTCTCTTCTCATTATCTCTTTTCCTTTGCTGCCTCCAGACAACCTGTAGTTGCTTCTGGTTTGGCTTGGAGTTTCATCCAGCAGCATCATGTCTTTCTGTGTTGCATATGAGTTGTTGGGTCACAATAGTTATGCTTCTGCATGCATAAACTGCTTGTAGGTGATAACGATAATGATAATGGGAGCTACAAGGCCACGGGGGTTTAAACCACTAAGTAAACATCATCTCACCTGTGGGCCTTATCATACTTGCCTTGCTATTTGCAAAGGCTGAATGATGTCTTTAACTGTGGTGAGAGTGATCCTCTCTAGCCTTAGCTGTCAACAAGTAAAGGGTCTTATTTGAGCTGTTTAATTCTGTAGCTAGTGAAGAGAGATCAGGTATGCCCAAAGGTTCGCTCATCTCACTAAGATTGGATTAAATTGAGCTTCTGATGTGCCTCTTTTTGGTTACAGAGGATGTCTGGGGTGGGTAGTTCAGCCTTCAGACACCCAGAAAGGTCAGATGGATTTTTGTCCTTTTGAAGCCAGCTAAA